CGAACCCAGATGGTAGAAGGCTGGACACAAACTGAGGGCAGGAACTTCCCTGTCCAGCAACCTTTTCCTCAGCACACAGTCAGCCTGGAGAAGGTAGAAGTTTCCTTCAGAGTGCACACAGAACACAAGGATTGACACAAGGACATCATGAAGAAAAAAAGCAGAATGGGAAAAACTGTCTTGCCTGCACAGTAACGGATAGCTGATTCTCCTAAAGACCCTTCTGATAGCATGGAGAAGTGGGATCAAGTGAAATTAATAGTCCAATAAGAAAGTGCAGAAATACTGATAATCCATAAAAACAGCAACAGAAATATCATTTAAGTCGGTAGGGGCATAAGGAAGAACAAAAGAAACCCAAGATAAAAAGTGATTAAGCCTTTGGAAACAGACCAGCAATCAATGTTTCTTTGGGTTTAAGGTCAACTTAGATGCTGGCTGCACTGCAGAAATCGTAGCTGAATAGATTAGAATAAATGCAGATTTCAGCATTGTGGTGCCTGAGCCTGAATACTTGCCAGCCTAGTCCTTGATTTGACTTATGCTTAACTCTAGTCCATGTCTGAATAGCACTTCTTCACATCATGGCTGATCAATAAGGATCTTTATGTATAGTCCTCTTATAAAATATACAGTCCACATACCCAAATTTGTGTAGGAGATGCATGAATTTGCAGAAGAAAGCTGAATTTGAACGTACAATACACTATTAACTTATGCATTGTGTACCTGGATAGGTACAACATAGCTGGCAACACCGATATGTGTATGGTTCCCCTAGGATCCAGAATCAAATATCAGCAAAATAAAAAAGGTAGATATTTGGAAGGTAAAAAATAAAAAATAAAGGTTATATCCGGAGGTCACCTGAGACATAAAACCGGAGTAGTTATATAAAGATGACCAGGTCCAACAATTCACAAGTTGTTCTTCCAAAATATCTTTTCAGTTTAGAAGTAATTAACTCATTTCAATCAAGTGCTGGGGATACAAAACATCAGGAATCAAAGTTTTAATCTTAAGAAACACAAGCCCTAAGCAAAAGAAATAGGGCCTTGTATATTTTGTCTGGAGGATCTGCTCACTCCCTTGCAGAGTGTGGCAGGTAGACAGTGATCCAAGGCCACCAAAACCACATCTCAATAATACCATATTTCTTTCTAGATGTAAACTATTCTCAACCTCAAAAGTTATGAGATTTATTTCTAGTTTAATTAGTTGTTTGTTTTTTTTTTTAAAGTAAGCTTACCCACGTATTGTATATTATTTAGAAGCAAGTTTTCAGGAGGAAAATAAAAAAGGTCACAAGAAAAAGTAATCAGTGTTTCCGACAGGCATTTCAACCTTAAAGAACATTTACAGAGAAATCTGCAAGAGAAGAACATGGCCATGTTTACTCTTTGAATTAAGAGGAAATGCTAAAACCATATGCAAACACAACTGGATTTAAAACTGGATACCTAATTAAACCCCACAGATTAGATCAGGAGAATTAAAAATACTTCGTTTCCCTCATTCATCATTCCCAGGAGCTTAGTTCAGTAGTTCATTAGTACCAAAGCAGAGTTACTTCTATTTTGGTGCAATTTCAACATCTTTGGAGCAATTTCAACATCTTTCAGTACAATTTCAACATCAGTTTAGAAGGAGAATGGATACAAGACACAATCCTCTGACTTTAGTATGCTTTCTTGCCTTGCTGCTGATTCTGGTGCAGCCCTTAGAAACTTAAAGACATTCTACAAAAAACTACTGGCTCCTCCTAGCATTTGTTATTCACAACTGATAAAGCTTTTCCTACAGCACTTGTAACATTTTCACTAGATTAAACAGGGAAAACCAGAACTAGATCCTTACCAAAGCCTAAAATACAATGTATGGAGACCAAAACCAGTTTTAAATGAGCCCAGCTTGTTTGGTGGAGACTTGGCAGCACTCCAGCTACAGCAGTTTTGAAGGGAGACTGCCATGGACTAATTTGCCCTGCTTCCTGACAATCTAGTTTAAGGACAGGTTGGATACCTGTAAGCTACATTGCAATCTCCAGTGGAGGCATGTCCTGAGGGAGAAAAACAGCGACTTGCCAAAGCCCAGTCATAAGTCATCAGGACCATACCATCCGGCTTACACCACAGCTTGATTTACTTTTGCTTTTAAAACAGTCTTTTCAGATACTGTGGCTCAACAATTAAGTGTAAGAACAGCAGCAGAAGTACACCAGTTTCTGTAGTGCAGGGAGACTCACTGTGGCCAGACACGAACAGTTCTTATTTCTGCATCCTTAAAAATGAAAAGAAACTTCGTTATTCTTCAAAAGCCCTTGGTAGGAATGAATGAATTCTGATGGATAATTTTTGTCACTGATACATGTTTGAAGAGCTCCTACACAGTGGCCAAGACGATCTATCTGCCAGCAAGATGTCCTTCAGGCTGGACACTAGCCTTCAAGAAGATACCTATTTTAAAGCAAAGAGATGAGATGGCAGGCATAGTGATGCACTGAAAAGGAAGAGAGAGTATTATTTCATGTTGCTGTATGTGCTAGTTATCCCACATGGCAACAGGAAGGCCTAATAACTCAGGTGCAGCATGAGATATTTCTGGAAACCAAAGTATCTCCATGTACTCCAGTCCCCTATTTCCCTTGATCAGGGAAATTATTCTTATTACACAAAATGCAGGAACAAAAGCATGAGCCATAGTCTTCCTATATTCATGACTTTTTTTTTTTCTTAATCATATTGGGGTAGAGTGGAATTTCCATTAATGAGCAAAATGAAAGGTTTTCTATTCTGTCAAGTCTGCCACCAGTGATGTCAAATACACAGACGCAACTATCCAGAATATATGCTGGACATCAAGACTGAAAGAAAATCCTCCTTATTTCTAGCTTATAGAACTAGAACTGAATTTATAAATTAGGCCTACAATGGCCTAATTCACATAGACCTTCAAACTTAAAACAGCTCCTAGATGAGGAAAGTTAAGAGCCAAACTTCTGTTTTAGGTCCACTGGTCTGCCTGAAGATACGTGCTCTGCACACGCCTAGCACTATCCTAGCCTGAAATGTGGTAATTCAAAAAGTATGAACAACTCCAAAGACCACAGTTAAACCAATTGAGAGGGGGTCTTCTAGTCTTGGTGACTGAATTCAACCCCTGTCAATACCAACCTTGCACAAAGGTATAACTGCAGCAGCAATTAATGACACTGCCGCGTCTCTTTTCCTCATATCCAACTTTTACATTAAAGACTACTACTAGTTGGTTACATTACTTGTGAATGAAAACATGAATAAACCAAATTAGTAAAAAGCAGCAGAATTTCAAACCAATTCCCATTTATAGGTACTTTCTTTTATAAATTGCAAGTTAAATGAATCACAGACACAATTAGCTTGTGGCAATATAGTGAATTATGGAGAGACTGAAAGTGAAGAGTCCAATATCTACCTGTTTATTTTGACCAAACAGTTTGCCAAAAGCAGACAATGCCTTTGTCAGCGTATGTGCAATGTCAAGCACAGTGGTGTTTGGCACCTTAGCTAGGTGTTCTTACTCTATCATAAGAAGGATTAAGAAATACTTCTGTTAGAGCAACACTGTTCTCAGTGCTAGGGAAAATTTATTCTTCCACCTTCTTCTAAGATAGGTGCAATTATTATTCTGACTTTACACAGGGGAGAATGGCGACAGAGAAAAATCAGGTCATTTAATTAGCATCCACAGAAAATTTGGCAGGTTAAAACTTCATTCTCTAAGCAAATATATTTACTCATCATTTATCTTTGTGTTTATGCCAGGAGATATGAGCAGCTCAAGAGGTATGTATACAAATTGCTGTTTCTCTGAATTCAAGGCTTCACCGACTGCAAACTGGTGCACCCAACTGGGCAGTACAAAACTATGGCAGCCAGAGGTTCTAAATTGTAAATATATTTTAAACAAGGACATTTTCAGTCACAAGTAATATCGCCAACTCCCCTGGCTCACAGCTTTATACAGATATTCCAAGTAATGTTCACATCCACTGACTTCATAGGGGAAACACACTTCACACCTCAGGGTGTCACATCTGTAAACGAGATTTCATTTTCTCTAGCATCAAATCAAGACCGGTATTTACTGCAGACAGCTATTGCAAGGGTTGCATAATGTTAGCAGAGTGCTGGGAGCATTAATGCGCCTACTATCATTAAATATGTGACAGATGTACCTGGAGAGAACTCATTAATTCTAATTTTGATTCCTGTTAGTCTAGAAATATTAGCATATAATTGTTGGTTTCTAAAATATTCTGGCAAACTTTTTTTTAACTGAAAAACTGTGTCAGCATTTATTTTGGAATATCTGATGAAGTCTGTTCTCTTGTATGCCCCTCAAGTAATGTGTTAGGTTAACCTCAGTTACCTAACAGGAAATGTTAGAGCTTCAGCAAGAATGCTTTCTGCAAGCCTTTAAGTAGGAGCTGTGAAATTTCTTCTCACCAAAACTAAGAAAGAAGCCTTAATTGTGACAAGAAAATTCATAATGATCTTTGAAAATGAAAACCCAAATCAACACACGTGATACACAGACTATAACAATACTACACGTATTTTAAGATTGCATTGCAGTGCTCATCATGGAGCAAAAGGCTGCGTGAAGAAGCAGCCAGCAGCAGCATGCTGTAAATGTGCTGTTAGCTGTATCTGCAGTCTGACAGAAAGAAATACAGAGAATTTGCATATCTTCTTTTCTTAAAAAGTATGCTAGCTTAACTAACACTGATTTTCTCTCTTCTGTTGTATTATTTTTCCTAGAAGTCTCAAGATCTGTTCATTCTACACAAAATCAAAGCCTGAAAGTAATATTAAGCTAAGTAGCTGTGTACAAAGCCCAGCAAAAAAGCATCCATCTTAGCAACAGAAAGGGCTCACATACACAAACACTGCTCCCCAGTGAGAATGGGAAAACACCATGTTGTTCTGCATAATAGCACATGGGGACCAGAAACTTACTGTATGCTTCCCCGAACTGTAGCTTTGGGGACAAAGTCTGCTCAGGCTGCTTCTTTAGTGTCTGGTGACTGGAAAGCCTGACAAAGGACAATGTCATTTAATCAGAAAGATATCAAAGACATATGAGCAGCAGTGTCTCTGCAAATACTGCATAAGAACACCAACTGTGTATGAGAAACCAAACTAAGAAAAAGAAACATAGCTTCAACTCTTTCATAAGACTTCAAACACAGATCTGCAGCAATTACTGCCCCAAACAATAATAAGGTTGGAAGTAAACATAGTACCCCATAGATCTTTGCAGGAAATAAGCTGATTAATTACTTAATTATTTTAAAAGGAAGCTAAAGAGAAGGGAAATACATGAAATAAATGGGTGGGAATGTAAGCGCTTGCACAGCATGGCATCACAAGCATGGACAAAGCACTGTAGAAATTATGATGTGTTTCTGCTCAGCTATTTCCCACAGTATATGATTACATGATGAAAAGCTGTATAATAACCATGTACACAGGAGGGTAGACTAAAATTACATAGGCAAATTGGGGGAAATTTCCCTCTCTGCTCACTCATGCATACTTTGTTTCTGTTTTATTTATTTATTTATTTATTTTCATTTTTTAAATTTCATTGTTTTGTTAATCTAGAACATAGGTCTGTTTTACCAGAGGTCAGGGTCGTTGTCACTATTTATGGAATAATATTACAAAATACTATTCAGCAGAATGCCTCTTCTAGATACAATAGAAGCATACGCTACTCAAAGCAACTGTCTTGCAAGAGTTTCTTCTAAGTATGCACAGTGAGTTGCAACACTGCATAGTAGTTGAGATGTTTTGCTGTTTCAAGTTTTTCTTTAATTTCTACTACACGTTCACAGACTACACATCTCTCTCTTTTTTTTTTTTTTTTGCTTGGTTGTTTTTTTGAATGACTACAGTGTGGTGTTTTAACATGAATGAGAGTTCACTGTCTGCTTAAGCTTCTCATGCAGATTACAACCTATTTTGCATTCTGTAGTTTTGTAGGAACTCAGAGTCTGAACTGAGTTGGGTAGGTCTTTGTGATCCATTTCTAAACAATACAGTAAATCTTATGCCTCTAACAATACTTGTACTTTGTGTCCCTAAATTTGGCTTCTTACTAGCATCTGTGGAAAACAAACAAACAAACAAAAGCATTTTATGTGAAACAATTCATGGTGCATCAGCACGTAGCATGTTGCACTCCTGAATGCTGAGTAGGGAAGCAAACCTTATGAAAGGATAACACACCATTGCATTAAAATGGAGCATAGGTCAAAAGAGTACAAACAGGATAAAATAGACAAAAAGGCTAGTAAAGAGTCAGTTAGTTTGACAACAGCTATGAAATAAATGGCAATGATACACACCAATGCTACTCTTCCAATCCAATGCAGAACTTCACAGAATAGCCTCCAGGGATAGGGTTGTGGATGCCTCTGCCCTGGAGGCATTCAAGGCCAGGCTGGATGCAGCTCTGGGCAGCCTGCTCTAGTGTTTGGCAGCCCTGCCCAGAGCAGCGGGATTGAAACTAGATCTTTAAGGTCCTTTTCAATCCAGGCCATTCTATGATTCTACGATTCTATGAATAGCGATACAGATTTGTGCTACATATTAAGCATATATAGATAGTTAATATATTACATGTTATATATCATTCATTAAGGACATCTTTTAAGTGATTTATGTCCCATATACTGTCTGGAAATGTATTTGTAGGACTAACAAAGGGTATGCATGCTACTCCATTACAGTAAAGCTATTAGTATAAATGGGACCGACTCCTAGTGTCACAGACAGCATAATGCTGAAAGGTTTAATGGGCTTTTTGGCAGGAGACAGACAGAATAGATTCAGCTGCTAACACTGAGACGCTGTCATTTTGCCCTTTGTTACCAGTGGTCTTATCTTTCGCCATAGAAACTTAAGTGCTGAACAGCGCCTACTGCCAGTCTGTCAGTTTCTCAGGAGGCAGTACTGCAACAGCCCTACTTCCCAGAGAGAAATCCATTTCTCAGGAATATTTGTGATCTGTCGCTGTTCTTAGGGTACTAATTAACATGTAATAATTAGATGTGCTGACTAGTCTCCTTGTCCAGCATTTAGAAAGCATACAATAATAACTAAACATAGACATAAAGTATATACATGTCATGGCCTCACCTCTTTATGGTATTCCCCTTGAATTCAACTATAATGTTCTCAAAGCAGTCAGGCAGAGAACATTGCCCTAGAGAATAAATTGCCTAAAATTCAAATGGTGTATCTCAACAAGTTGGAATTACACAAGAGTATGAGTATCGTTTTATGGGTCACAGTTTTATTTCCAGTCCTACTGACATTTTAAGGCACCTGGGATACATCAGGAAAGGACATCTGAATAGAATTGTGAAGACACATTGGATACCTGAACCAGTTAAAAAGCCAGAGGAAACAAACAAACAAAAGAAAAAAGAAAGGAGCTGTAAATCAGGCAAAAACCAGTGCAAATACTGTGCTTTTCCAAATCTGAAAAAACACCTGGCAGATTTTTTTTTTTTTTTTTTTTTTTGCATTCTTCACAATTAGTAGGCCAGAGCACTATAGCACTATTCCCAGAGTTCTGTACTCCCTCAGGAATGCTTATTTAATCCATTTTTAATCCCTCTCTCAGTTTCACCTGAGTGCTGAGAGCAAGAGAAGCAAGCTCTCACTTCTAAGCATCCCATCTTATTCTCTCCAATATTTATGAGAGGAAAAAAAAATGTTTGAACATATGTTGCAAAGCATGACTAAGCAAGAAATCTCATTCCTGACATACCACCCCAATTACACCCACCCAAACTATTATTTGTAATTAACGAGCCTTCTGCAAGGCTTTATAAGGGTTTTATTTACCGTATACATTTGTTTCAGACAAGTCACTATGTTTAAAGTGAAGCTGCGTCTGGAACAAGGGATTTTTTCCTCCTGCCATGGCCATTCCTCTCTGGAATCCTGCAGTGCTGCTTTTCCTCCGTCACCAGTAATGCAGACACTTCTTCCCACAGCCAACCTCCAGACAGTTTCAGTTCTCACACAAAGCAACGGGTGTTCTCAATTTGATGCATTACTTGCTGGTTTACAAATTAATTTAGGAAGGCATACGATGCCGAGCTGCTTAACAGCTGCGTGGAAAAAAAACATAAAAACTGTTCTGGCGATACACAAAAGGCAAAGATTGCGGGTCCCTCTGATCCTGCTCCCTGCTCTCAACATTCATGGGCGCCATCTGCTGGCACGAATTAATTATCAACATCTCTAATTATATAAATGCCAGGTCAAAGCTGAATGCTTTCTGTACGTGTTTTATCTTCTTCCGGAGAAGGCAGGATGTCCCCCCACAACTTCCAGCAAAGATCTGGGACGCAGACCTCTCCGGCCTTCCCTCACCCCCACAGGTGGCAGCTAAAGGTGCCGTGAAAGCAGAGGACAAAGCTCTGACTGCTGGAGAAACTCCAGGCAGCACCTTGGCCTCTCATTACAAGCCTGGAGCCTGCAGCCAACCGCCCTGCCTCTTACTCTTGCTCTAGAGGAAACACTGAGCAGTGCCAGTCTCCACGTTCGGAGAGTTTCCTAACACCGACAGCAAATCATCACAGCAGCTGAACGGGACTTTTTGTCCACGCTACCAAAATTATAACATATTCTATTTATACTGCTGTTGTTAAGCTACTGTACGTCTGACACATTTAGACAACAGTTGATCCTAAGCCACAAAATGACTTGGTCTTGGCTATGAAAATGGCTCTAAGCCTGGGGTCATTCTGACGAGCAGTGAAGACTATGATTCACCTTCTTAGTAAGAGCTAAAAGCATCTATTTGCCAAGATCTGGACTCAAAATTCAGGGAGTCCCCATTTCCTTGCAATTAAGAAGCACATGGACATGAGATTTCATTTCACGCCTATTCCTACTTTACACATACAGACAGCGGCACCTGGCACTTCTAGAAAGAACAAACTGCTGCTTGTACGGGTCTCTGTTGGGCAAAAACCAGCAAAATAAATACCTCTAAGAGTGTGGTATTCCCAGTAAGCTCTAGAAGATTAAAGCATTATTCATGTGTGACAAACAGAATCTAAACTTATGAATGTATGAATCAAGGAGGGGATTTCCAGTAGTATTTGAGAATGAGCAGAACATTTAGCTGGCCCTCCTCAAACAAAACTTTTGCCACATGTAGGCTCTGGAATGAGGAAGAAATTCAGTTCTGACGTTCTCTGCCAATGACGTGAAACTCCATTTGGAAACATCAGCTAATGAAAAATACAAAGACGTTCCCACACCCACAGCTATGAAGACAAATTAAGTATACTCACTGAATGGAAATCAGAAGTATTCTTAATAGCTGGGCACAGCAGAAGCAAGTCTAAAACTATTGAAGGATTATACCCTCCCAAATATGTTTTTGCCCAAGGATTAGCTCTAAGAATGACTAAAACCACCACTCTAAGTTTCTCAATGTAAAGAGGATTTAGACATGCAACTAATGAGGGATGTATAAATCCTGATGCACAAGAATATTTATGCCCATACTTGGTGCTGAAGGAAAATTCTGAATATGACCTCCCTATTCAGATATTCCATGAGCAGCTGCCAGTTCCTGATTGCACTTGATCCCAGCCTAGAATACAACTGTTGGGACTCAAATTCATGCAATGTTACTTGTCTGTGAGTCTAATTTAAGAAATGGACCTACTGCAAATGCAGGGCAAGCAATACTTTCATAGCAGTACAATGGTTCAGCTATGCATGACACTGCCCTGTGATTCTGCATCACCCACATTTACACACACAAGACATCTACTTAACCAGCAGTCTTCTGTCCAACCCAGTTTCAAATATCCCAAAGGATCGAACTATCATCTCCCATGGACAACACTTCCATAATAGTCACTCTGCTAAGAACTTCCTCCTCATAATCAGCATAATTTATTTTTTTTCTGACTTTTCAATCCATTTCAATATTGATATGACTGTAAACAATTCCATTCATTCTTTGGGTTTCTATATCTCCTTTCACTAAAAAGTTCAGGAAGAAGTATGTTCCTAAGTAAGGAATACTCAAAAACAAAAATAAACAAACAACAACAAGAAAAACAAAAACAAACAAAAAAATAGGGCTCCCCTCTTCCACATATTTGTTACATCATTATTTGAAAGCACCTACAGGAGTTCAAAATAAAACACAAAAGCTATACATCCATCTGTTGAAGGGCCAGTGGGTGACAGTCTTTTTCTACCTGAAAAACAAAGATGTGCCTGTCTTCTGACATTCGTTCAGTATTTTCAATATTTTTCAGTATTTGTGGTTGCTTTCTCAAAACATTTCCCACCATTTACACAGAAACATGTACTTTTTTTTCTCCTTCCAGCTCAAAGACTTTCCGTGCTTCCTTAAATTTTTGTATCTTTTATCCTCCCTAAGGATCTCCTTTTTGTTCCTTTTTTGTTCCTTTTGATCCTTTTTGTTTTTCTGAAACAAAAGCTTAGAAATGAAAGCTTGGAAAATATATTAAAATTTGCCCCTATCTTTCCTCCTTCATCACTTTGGTCTGAGTTTCCTATTTCATCTTCCCTTCCTGAGCTGCTTTTTCTTCTCTGGATGCAATATAAACTCCCTCTCCACTCTTCCTTTTCTTGAGCCACTCATTCTTTCACTCACCAAAAGGGTAACAAATCAAAAGCAACTATTTATGTACCCGATTACGTGAAACTTGCATTTTTATGGAATAATCTCTCACATTCCTGGTACAAGTTTGCAGCTTTCCGTCAAAACCTGGATGCTCTGCCATAAGACATGAAACACAAGTAACTGCCTTAGATTTGTGGCACAATCACTACCTCTCACCAGCTCTCATCTCCTGTTCTTTCCATAGAACTCTCATTTCAGAGCTTTCCAAAACTGACTATGAAAACAAACTGGTGGACCCAAACTATAGCATTATATATATATATATATATAGCATATGAAATTAAGAAGAAAAATCTAGGCTTTGGGGAAAAGAAAAAAAAAAAAAGTTTCCTTTTGCTGTGTACTGTCAGACAATGTAAAGCTTTTGTAAAGCTTTTTTTTTTTTTTTTTTTTTTTTTGGGGGGGGGGGGGAGGGTCAAAACAGCTAACAGAGAACAACAATAAAATACACTCCAAATGGGAGATTTAGAAAGCAGCTTTAATTGAGGTGCTTTGATGCAACCTCTGGCAACCTTTCTCTCCATTGCCTATGCAACAGTAATGGCAAATATCTTCGAGACAGGTACCACTATTCTCCCTCCTCTGCCCTCCATCCTCTCTAGCCCCTGGGACACCTCTCTCCTCCCACTCCTTACAGTTTCCTTCTATGCCTTTCTGTTGCTGATGGAGCTTGTTGCCTGAGCAACTGCAGCTGAGGAAGGGATTGAGATGAGCCCTCGCCCAGTTGTGAGCTATGTGCAATAGCACTGCGTTCTAACCCTGGTACGCATGACACCTACAGAAGCAGCCTCAGGAAATTCACAGCTGAATTATGTACCTTGAGTTGGGTGCAACATCCTTACAAGGTGCTGGGTATCTGGCAGACACCTTACATTTTTGTTCAAGCATGAATAAAATAGCCTAAAACTCAAGACTTTCAAGTATTTTAGCATATCCACAGACCTGGATTGTATTCACCAAGCAGCCATGTTTGCTACACTCTAATTCCAGTCCTAACAGAACTCAGGAGTGCAAATAAACTGGTAATCAATCTCTAGAAACAGAATACTCCCCTCTAGAAGTTTCAGCTGAATATGATACGAATCTCTCTCCTCACTCTTTTCATTGTCTATTTTAGAATTCAGAAAAGTAACCAAAACAAAAGCATCTATCAATGACCTTTCCAGATCCCTTGAGTATTTATCCTTTGCTTTCTTTTTATCTTTGCTGTCTGTCACTTGGTATTTGAACAATATCTAGTAAAATGAGAATGCAGTCTCAGTGCTACTGCAATAAAAGAAATAATCTTTGCAAGATACCCAGCAGAGATTTCTTTTCTAATATTGTTTTATTGAAAAAAATCCTTTTACTTGGAAAAAAAAAAAAAAAGGCAACTCAGCATTCTTATACTGCAGGAACACTAAAGCTTATATGAAACACTAAGGGTTGCTCCCCCCTTCCAAGATGATTTATGATCAAAATGGTTGTAACTGATTACTTGTAGCTCTGCTGATTGCAGAAGGGAAAGCTGTGCAGTTTTTCCTGCATTTGTGCCAAGTATCACTTTGAAACATAAAGCACGGATTCATCTGCATTCATGCTTCTTAAAAGACATTAGTCTTGGTGAAAAAAAAATCATCAGGAACTGCAGGCCTAGATGACTGTAGCTACAATGGCACTTCACACTCTTTTATTATTTTTACTCCTGAGGTAGAAATATAGTTAGAGGTTCCACTTACATCAGGGGTTAACAGTGAGTTACTGAAAATGATTTAACCTTTTAAATTTCATCAATGCAAGATTCATGCAAAATGAATTTACTACAGCTTATCAAATCTGCCTTCAGCAGCTGAATGCTTGCTAATTCTCTCCCTTACAGTATATTTATAGCATTAAATTATTTTTTTTTGGTACTATGTTTATTTTTGTTGAACATAAGATAGTGAACAACTGAAGTTTAAGCTTGACAGAATGCTGCCACAAAAACTCAGTAACTAACACTTCATTTTTTTGCTGCGTTTTGCAATCTGCAGAGATATCTACTTGCACTTTCACCTACCCAGTGGAACCGTCAGAGTGAATATCACTGGAGCAAAATGCAATCCAGAATTTATGGCTTAGTACATGTAGTGAGAAGGTTGAATTAATGAAGTCTGGAACACTGTGATTAGATAGCAGGTTCCAAATAGTTTTGAATAAAGTGATCAGGATTTCTCAATGTCTCTGGGAGTTTTGAAGCCATCTGTCAAAACAATGCTATCGCGTCTAGGATTCACGTAATTGTGCTTGGGAGAGCTCAGTTGATTGGTTAGGTAAACCCACTGCTGCCTCTTCTATAGTTCTTTCTGACTACAGGCTTCAGTAATGATGCAAATCAGGTGACTGCACACACAGCTTTGAAAGACAGAAGGGAGACTCACAGAGTCTTAAAATTTAGCAAAGGAAAAGGCATAAGGCTAAACATCCTCTGTGTGACTCATAGGTTTCAATGGGATTACAGCAGGATGGAAATAGACCATATTTATCGTATTAGGTCACCATACTAATATCATTAATCGCCTGCCAGTGAAAGAGTGTTCCCTACCATTCTACGGTTTAAAGTACGATCATAATTGCACTATGGGAATACAAGAAAGCTAGAAGAAAAAAAAGTGAAATAATGGGAAGATTCTGAAGAAATAACTTTTAAGATACCTAAATATTTATATAACATATTTAAATAAAATACTTAGTTTTCCTTAAAAGGTACTGTGAATACCACTGAAGGACTCCTATCAACATAAAACTTTAGTGATATCTTCATCATTTATCTGTTCATCAAAACAAACCTTTTTACACAGATAACATACCACCTGTGATTTATGTGTGGTGAAAGCTGTACCACAACATTTTATTTTGCTTCTGGTAACTTCAGAAAACATGACTCTTGCATCACATCTGATTTTGTCATTAAAGCATGCAAAAAGCTATCTACATTTGTAGCCATCTCCTTCTTTCCATAAAACTTGCTGGAGTAATATCAGAAAAAAATCATCTCACCAAGATGAGTAGTATCAGAAAAAAATCATCTCACCAAGATGAGAATGCAGTAACAATGGTATTAACACTTCTTTAAGCCCTTGTGAAATTTCTCAGTGGAATTTGGAGAAAAAACATCTTATATGCAGTAAGGGCACTCACCTTGGAAGTGGTTCTTGGAAGAGCTTTGTATTTTTCCAGTGAATGATGTATTTAAAGTCTAAATAATTCAATAAAGCAGAAAGCACAGCTTATAATTTCTTCCTTCCAGTAAGCATCTTGGGCACTAGGCTATGTAACTTTGCATTTCCTCTCATTCTGACATCTTTAATTTCATATTCTTTTCTACACAAGGGGTCAAAAAATGTTTCACCTGTCTTGAAAGAGCTTAATTTCTTCATCAAATAAAAGTATAAATCTGTGGCTTACCTTTGTCAGGTCTGCATTTGAGGGAGGTGAATGCAGCATACCAACCAACTAGAGACAGAAATAAAGTCAGCTAGTCAGAGCTTGGCGATAAACAATTGCATAGGACTGTGCTGATGTCTACCTGTAAACATTGTTCATTCTTCAACCACTTTTAAAATTCACACCTACTTTCTTATAATTATGTTTCAGCCAGATGGCTTTATCTAACTCAAAATTGTTTAAACACCAGGTAAAGTATTAATAGTGAGTTTGATTAATAACTAAACAAGAAAGAAATGCATTGCCAGTATCCAAAGTGTTTCAGAATCTCCTAACAGCCAGGTGATCAAAGTTCCCTTCTCTGTGACACTGGGTAAATCACATTGAAAATTCCATCGAGGACTGGGGATGTAAAGCTTTGTAAGCAATTTAGGGGTAGGATTTAAAGTTGCTTAGGCATTTGCAGATGTTTCTAACTTTTTGAAAGTCTTTTTTTTTTCTTTTTTTAATGTAACTTCAGATGTTTGAGTACTATTAAAATACCATTTCGCTCTTATGGAGACTTTGGGTAAAAGTATATTGACTGCTAAATAGAATGTCCAGAATGTCCATGAGATTTAAGACTTTTTTTTGTGTGTGTGTGTGTGCTTTTTTTTTTTTTTTTTCCCCAGAGGAAGTAATTGTAAATTATTTATCTTGCTGAATAAAGTACACAGGTCTAAATCACTTTAAGCCTGAGAAGATGATTACCAAATGATTGTTGGACTAGGAGACTCACAAAATTCCTTTGAAGGAAAATAAGGCATATAATGCAATACCTCCCCATACACTCCTCCCCAGTAACAATTTTGTCTGCTCTAAGAGTATACATTTAACTCCACCCTTACATTGTTTTTCTTATGTAGCATGATTTCTAAAACTTCTACAGAATGCTTAATACAAAATAGCAGGTAAACAGGGCAACAAAACTGGCACATACCTCAGGCCTTGCTAGAAACCATCCCTGCACAGTAAAAATGGCTATAAAGAAAAAGAATAAAACTTTGTGGGTTTAGCCCATCACTGTCATGTTTATTTAACCAGCATTTTCATTTTTCTGTTGCTGCAAATATTAAACAAGGACCATGAAGTCACCTGGGGGAGCACGTCAGTTATATCTGCACTGCTTTCTTGTACGATGTCAGCTTTCATGCAGAAAGAATGTCAGTGATCTTTTCATTCATTACTTTCATCTTTTGGGTTACATTCCAATCTATGCTATACTGTAAATCAGGTTACAATACATACAATATATCTAAGATAAATGCTCACCCCACCTTATCATATAATAATTGTGACAACTATTAAGATAATGATCCTTTGTTACTCATTACATACATGAGAAATAGCACCATTGAAACTAATAGATGCACACCAGCAAAAAATGCAATGAGAAAACTGAACCTGAAGTTTCAGTAGGCACAGTCACGTTTAATAATGAATCTGTTTTCATCATCAACTGCTCTGCATTTCACAGTCAGAAAGTGTAGAAGTCTGTGGTCACTCTGGGGATGTCAAACTTAGCTCAGGAAAAGATCAGGTCTCAGTAAAGAATGCATCAGTTCTGTTACAGAAATAACTATCTCAATCTGGAAAATAGGCATTTTGTGAACCCTGCATTTCTTATAAAACCAAGTGGTCCCCAAAGCATGTTCATAATTCTGGGAAAATGTATTCAAATGTTAGTCAAAATTCAGCTGCAATGGTATGTGAATTAAACATCACCTAAGTAATTTTTTTCCGGAACACACTCAGAAATAGGTGCCATAATAAATATTTTCAATCTCATTGTTCCTTACTTTCATCTGAAAATTTCACCTCCTTCTCCCCCCTTTCCTTCAAACAGAATTTTATCAAATGCCTTTTGACTTTTAAAAATGTTTGGAATTCTTTGTCAACATTGCAGATGTAATACAAAATATATACATATTAGCTTAAAAAAAATATATATCCTACCTGGGAAAAGATGTGATCAGCTGAAAAGATGTGATCAACTACAAAGGTGTCCTGGCAAGGCCTTGCTCCTTCGCATCACAGAAGTTACATTTTTCTACAACACTGAAGAGCTACTAAAACAGCCAATCTTTGATAGATTTGACCCACTTGAGGTAAAAGTTGTAATGTTCATTATAAAGACTGTATCCCTAATGAAACCTTCATAAACTACAAGCTCTTCAGAGCAGTAATAATTCACAAACATTTGGAAACACATTATTAAGTGCCAGGAATTATTATATATATACATTATATATGTGTGTGTATATGTTTAACACTAATTTATTTCAGAAAATATCAATATATTTATATATTTAAGGGTTATATTTAGAAGTCATTATTCTAAATGTTAAGAATGGAAATTGGATACCCCTCTCTGTTCTTGATTCACACCCAATACTTAAAATATCTGCAGATTTATATTTTTCTTCTTTTAAAGAAAGTTCTCTTGTGAATCCTAACTCTTTGGATTCACCCATATAACAAATATTTCCTATTAACTTTTTAAAATGCAAAAATGCATTAAATTAAAAAAAAAAAAGAAAAAAGAAAAAAGAAAAAAGCAGTAGTCATATCTAGCTTAATTATAGAGATATCTGTTATTTGGGAACATGTAGCACAGTGACAGCAATAGATGACATTCAGCATTCTTCCTGTTTATACTGGTTGTGGGCTGAGAGCTAAAAACAGGCTCTGCCAACACGCACCCAGCATAAGACTATAGTTGGACATCTTCCTTTCTCTAAGGCTGAATCACCCACCTCTTAATAATCAATCCAAGCTAAGTAAGACTTCCAGTACTGGCTCTTACATTGCAATATGGTCACTTAATTCCCACAGGAATCCAAGAAGCAGTTGGATGTGCATAACTGAAAACTAACTTCAAAGTAAGCACTTGTTGCATTTTGACAGGATTTGTTAGATTATCAGGATAATCTAACTTGTTCTATGACTCTAGTGATGGTGACCTTTCTGGCCTACCAGAAAAAAAAAAAAAAAAAAAAAAAAAGGCATTAGGGTGTGTCTGCCTTGCACAATGCCCTATTGTACAGTGCTCTCAGAGTGATGATCCACGAACAGCAGTTTCCCTTACCCACACTGATTCCAAACCCTGTGCAGTATCTCCCTCCAGCACTATCCTGAAAGACAGACGTGATGTATTGAAGCTGAGAACAGGGTGGATAAAAGAAATGTGTATCATTACCACAGTACACCACTCCAGAGTGTCATAAGCCAACTTTCTTCTACATTAAGGATATATTTCCAGTTAAACAAAACACTGCCACGAACACATTTTCACAGAGACACATTAAGAGCGACAAATAACTGATACCTGCTGGTAAAATAATTCTCAGCACTGTTTTTTGCATGCTTACTGTTTACTGTAATTCATACAAAGAGCTAAATGGACTCTTCACTTGACTGCTGTAAGAGCTCCCTCTGTTGTTACGCAGGAAAACTACCAGAAAACCTATTCCATTATCCTCGTGTCTTTTTCATCTTCAAGTCGTGAATTATCAAACACTCCACCCTGTGAGGTGAGGACTGACACAATTTTCTGAGATAACTTTTCATGCTTATTTTCTGCACAGGTAACTGCTATCTTATTCCAGTCTTCCAAAGTGCTGACAGTGTCACTTAGAATAATCTTTTCCAAAGCATCTAAAGGAAATAAAAATAATTAAAAAATTGAAGGAAAAGGAAAAGGAAAAGGAAAAGGAAAAGGAAAAGGAAAAGGAAAAGGAAAAGGAAAAGGAAAAGGAAAAGGAAAAGGAAAAGGAAAAGGAAAAGGAAAAGGAAAAGGAAAAGGAAAAGGAAAAGGAAAAGGAAAAGGAAAAGGAAAAGGAAAAGGAAAAGGAAAAGGAAAAGGAAAAGGAAAAAACCCTGCATTTGCCTCAATAAGCTTTGTATTAATCATATTAGGGATACTGCACAATCAGATGGATCATTTTTTTCAGATGGATTATAAATCCTGTGATTGAGTAAAGAAAAACTGATCAAATTAAAGGCTTTTAAGAAAAACAGTCTTTAATTTAAAAGGATTAAAGGCTAAAATCTTTGATTAAACTCAAAATCATTTCTGAAACCCAGAAGAGCAATAGAATGACAGAGAAGTGGCAGACACCAAAGTTAAGAGCAGTTAAGGGCAAGATACAATATATACAATAGATGGAAATAACCATTCCTCAATGGAGATAACCTACTTCGCAGAAACATTATCTTTAGATTTAAGCACTTTTCTTGGCTAAGTCTAGGCAAATAAGCATTACTTTTCCTGCAGAGTCTGCAGCACATTCTGCCCATGCGGTTTGTTGCAGCTCTGTGCCTTTGGCTTGAGCTCACGTTGCCTGAAGAGCTTCTGCACCTGGCATTGTAAACGCTCTGGGAACTTACAAATCTTACATCAAAGTAGGACTTTGGTTATTTCTTTTTTATGTCCTAAGCAGAAAATAAGTTACTGGTTGTCCAAGAGGCAGTCTACAGAGTCTCTGCTAGAAGCAAGCAAAGTGCCTGCATAATTATTTCAGTGGTTGGGTTGCCCCAAGGGGTGCTCTGTGCAACAGCGAAGACTGAACCTGTGTGTGTGAGAGCAGGCAGGATAGGCTGTGAAATCTGACATGAGTGACCCTCATCCCTGTGGAAGCTTCAGAAGATGCAAGAATGCACAGTTCAGCTTGCTATGAAGGAAAAGATTTTATTTAGTTTCCATTATAAACAAGGAGCACTGAATCCAAAGTAATTTATAGGCTGAAACTGGACTTGAATTAAAATGTCAAGTTTGAAAGTTTGTTATTCAAATTTTACTGTGCTTACTTTTATTGTTCATTTCCTCCAACAGCTGAAAGCCATGCTTTTTGTGTTCAGTCGAGATAAAAGACAGGATTGTAGCCCCCATAGATGAAAACGGTGGTTTTCTAATCCACTGTTGACTGAGACAGCGAATTAATGCAGTGCTAGGACAGTTTTCCAATAAGAAGAAGTAATCATCTGAAAATAAAACACCAAGATTATTACAAATTTGCACATGGTCACCTCTCCCCTTCCTCACTATAAAAGAACACAACGATTTTCCTAAACACTGTGGAAAAGCTAGTATGTGATTAAAATCTAACTTTCATTTACTTGGAAAAAAAAAAACTTTTCTGTAATTATTTTAGAAATCTCACAGAATGAGAAAATGAGCACACAAAGTACTTAATATTGAAAATCCACCTTTAAAATGATTTGGAATATGGTCAGGGAATAAAATAAGAAAAAAATAAGAAAATAAGAATGAAAAACTGTAACTTAACTAAGCAATAACATTCAAAGCAAGAAGACACATAGAAGAAAAAAATGACACAGCCAGAAGTCACAGAAGCTAAGCAGAAAGGAGCCTAAGAAAGAACATAGGACACCCTTCTTTCCTTTCATTGCTGGATCAATAAACTCATGATCCAACAGAGGGCTAAATCTCTGAGATTTCCTGCAGGCCTCCTACTGGGGTTTTGGGAAATCCCTCCAGTGATTTTCAAACAAGCGTACAAAAAGAAATTCCTTATTTCAGAAGATCATGCACTGATATTATGACAAAGCCGACAGGGTCTTTTAATCAGAGTTCTTGAGGTCTACTTAAACATGATGACAAGTTCAGACTGATTCACTTCAAATTCCTTCTGTACAAATGTGGTCCAAAGCATCATCATTAAACCTAAAATAAATAAACGGTAGAACAATCATCAAAGGCAATACAAGCGCCTTATTATTTACCTAAAGAAAAATGTTCCACTTGCTGAATATAATCCACTGCTCCAGCAATTCGGCCCTGTTTACACAGGCACAACGCAACTTTTTTGTATGCACCAGAATGACCATACGCGGCCTGAGCCAAAGCCAGGCATTCCAACATGTTGTTTGGCTCCTCTTTCCCATAATCATAAATAAGGTCTCCCACTGCCTCAGAAAAAGTTAGCCTGAGGAAGACAAGGCAATAAAACAGCATTCCTAATATGCTTTGTAACTTCAGAATATTTCAAAATGACCTCCAGCATAAGTGGATTGTATAGATGGGTATATTTCTGCATGTATAACTATTAAACTGTTCCCCTTTTTCTTTCTGCCTCTCTTGCAGCCTTAATTCTCTACACTTTAAAAAGTAGCCTCTTCCTTCTCTTTCTTAATGTCTCAACTGCCACAGAAAGCAATAGCAACCAATGGGACATGTTTTTTAGAGATTACCGCAATTCCAGGCTGTGGCAGCTGGGAGGAACATTCTTACATTCTTCCTGAACATGGGAGATTCAAGACTGCTTTCAGAGAAAGGGAAATGCTCACGTTTCTGACATCAAGAGTAGAATGAAAGAAACCCATCTTTCAGTAATTACAGTTTTCTTAATCCACAGTACGGTGTGAAAACTTTGCATCTGTATAGTTTTTAACTACAGCATAAGAGAAAAGAGTCTCAAAACTGGGCTCTGCAGTGCTGCAAGAATGGTTGACAGCAACGAAACCAAAATGTCTTCTTCAGAACTTGCTGTTGATAACACTTATTTGATCTATGCTCATATTGCATTTAAGATTTAACAGCGAGTTTAACAGCAGAATCAAAAAGGACACTCACTGGTACTTTTGGTTGTGTTTTGTTTCAAAGGGTTTAGTTTGAAGAAAAGGAAAAGCCTCATGGATGTCAGTGCAGAAGAACCACATACCTCTGCTGTGTAACCCAATGGTTTACCAGGTTTAATTGCTTTTCAGACAACGCACATTTAATTGCTTCCAGAGTTACAGGTAAATTTGGAAGGCGTCCAGCTGCAGTACTTGCATTTATGAGAGTGTCAAAATACTTCAGCAAAGGCAGATTTCTTCCTTCAAGACAGCTAAGAGCTAAAGGGTTGAAAACAAAAGTCACCCAGAAAAGCACAAAGAGAAAAGTAACTTTCACTATTTAAGACTTCCTAAGTCTTTGTTTGCTGACACACGCCAAAGGCCTCTGACACAATTCTTAGCAAATCTCTGAGGTTGTGTCATATGCGATGCTACATTAATCACTCAAAATGAAGGTTGCTCAGAACTGAAGGCACAGGAATCATGACAGTATTTTACCAGCGACAGGTAAAGGTAAATCTCAGGGGGAGAGATGGTTGGGTATTTAAGCCATATAGTTTTTCAGGTGAAAATGCATGAAATAACATTGTAAATGCCTTTGTACTGCTTTTGGAGTATAAGATCTGCTAAGACTGATTTAGTAAATTTGTAATTCAGATCCCACATACTAGCTTATTGCAGTTCTTCTCTCTAAAATTGAATGAAAACCAATAAAAATATGCATACACACACAAAAAAAAATGTTGATCTTGTAAAGTTCGACCACGCCCCTATGATTCCTCCCAGATTAAGAATAAAATATTCAGCTGCTCATATCTCTGATACCACCAATACCACTGAATTTTGTATTTCCAAGTACAAGGCAAAACATTGAGACAAAGACAAAATTATATAGACTATTTTTCATTTACCTGGGAAATTTAAAATCAGTTTTTATGTATCTTAGATTTCAGAAACTATTTTTAATGCAGCTCACTGGAATATTGCTTTACAGCTCAAAAGGCTAGGCTTAAGTAGTTAACACACATAACAGCCAAACTAGCAGGTGGACTTTTGTTCTTGTCTACTACATGTCACCCCTCAGTAGAAACAAAAACAATTTCAGCACAGCTTTAGGAACAGCGTTACACTAGACCTTAAGACCATGGTAACAGGAATTTATACTTCTGCAGACCCTGAGTCCTAGAGTGATGGAAAAGGCCTTGCCTGTAACATAATGAAGTCTATTAGCTAGTTGTAATTTCACCAGTCACACATTTTTGAAAAGCTTACATGACTGTTTATGTTCCATTCTTTTCCATAACCCACTGCTTACCCCAGTGCTGCTCCAACAGTAAAAACAAAAACAAAACAACAAGTGTTGTAAGCTAGCTATCTCCTTTCCTGCCTTTCAGGGCATGTGCTTAACATAGAACAAAGGAGAAATAAAAAGCCTTACAACTTCCTTGTATTCAATTTGGAATTTTAAATGTAAGCCTCAAACCCCCACAAAAAAAATCTTGTTTGATAAATCCCAAGATCCTAAGCACTAAAACAACTAGCTTGACATCGACTAAGATCCTGTAAGAATGGATCCAATTATCAAGTTCTTACATTTAAGATTCTTTAGAGCCTCTTCATTACAGAGAATTTCTCCAGGAGAGTTTATTGCACAAGTTGCTGCAGCATCATACTGACCACTTGAAAATAATTCACTGAAACTAGTAAAAAGGAAGAAAAAATACAGAGTATATGCTATGCAAACACTAAATAAATACACGTACACAAAATGGCTGGCTTTAAATAGAAATCCAGTCAGGAATCCTAAACTTTAAGAATACACAGCTTAAAACATATATATTTTAACCTAGTACATCTTTATCGCGTTTTCCAGCATGAAGCAGCAATTTTCATTCCCTGCACATCCAGTTACGTTTCTTCTGCCTCACTACCTAGTGCTTTTGAAAACGTCCATAATGAAAATTGAGAAATCTAAGAGGGACTTATCTGGACAATTGTAAAGAGAAATCAACTGCATTTTAATATAAGGCTTGTAAAAGATTGTGATTTAGGAGGGACTAAGAAAATTAATCAATTGCCAGAAACAGAAGTGAGTTACTTCTGTTTAGCAGTTACACAGCAGGCTATATGAGATCAGTTGATGAACTAATTCCTATTTTTAAGATCAAGCGGTTATTAAGTGATGAGATCTAGACAAGGCATCTAGAAGTAAATCTCTGCATTGGATGCTTTAGAAAAGTCCAGTAATGTCCAATTTCCTTCAGGTATCTGGACACTTTTGAAAAACCCTCATTTTCATCAAACCCTCAATTTTGAAAAAAACCCTACATTTTCACTCATAGGTACAAAACCATATAAATTTAAAATTAGCTTGTCAGCTTTCACAACACAAGGAAGTAAGCTAATCATACACCTCAACAGCTGGTCTCTTCAATGTCAGTCCCTTCAGAAAAAGGACCAAAGAGCCTCTGAAAGCGGACAAACCTTTGATTTAATGTCTATGTCTAAATGGCAGCACTTTTTACAAGCTCCAAAAGGGTCAAAAAAAAAAAAAAAGAAGGACTGCATTCAGGCATTCAGTATGATATATTAGCTCCAGTGTTGTAAACTGCTAATACAGAGCACAATAACAATATTCTTTTTACCTTTCAAAATATTCAAGTGAATCCTCAGCCATTTTACTAGGGACATCAAGAGCTGAAATATAAGATATGGCCGTGTAAGGTAATCACAGTACTACCTCAACAAGCAAATCAGCATTAAAAGTGCTAAAGCGTTTCAAAACAACAACAACAATCAACTGATACATTTATATGAAGGCATATAATTTAAGCTGAAAATATTTTCATGTATTTTTAAAGAATTGAAACAATCTCCTTAAGTGGATGATAGTTTAAGACACACCTTTTGCCACATCAGTTAAACTCTAAAGACAGTTTTCCCGCCAGTGCCCTCAAAAATGAAATATCTCTCTGGAAAGACGGAGAAAATACTATCTTAAAGACCAAACTCTTAGTTCACTACAGCTGTCTACACTCACACTCTCATTCTTGACTGTTCTGACATTTTATTTTAATGACTTTACCTCTTTCATCATTTTTCGTGATCTGAGAGAGGACATTTTGCAGGGTGATAGTCTTGTCTGATTTTGCACAGGCAGAAATAGCATTTGCAACTAATGAAATTCTAGTGTATCTACAGATAGTTGAAGAGGGAAACAGGTATGTTAGCAGAAGAGTTTCATGAATGCAGAAATATTCATCATAGGATCTGCGGTATCTGTATTAACAATTGATTCATGTACTGAGGCTTAATCTGTAAGACTTTAAAAAATGTCTATGTGACAGAAAGAACATATCAAAAGGAAGTGTTGCAGATGCTTGTGAACCTGAGCTTCAGCTTATCCCTCTTTGCTTCAGCTGTATCTCTTATGGCCAGTAAGTGCAAGAGTTCTTGTTCTAACTTTGTCTTTTTCTGACGAGGGACGTACTTCCCGTCCCCATCTTTTTTCAATTCCAGCAACCGTCTGTCTAACTGAGCGAGATGTTTAGAAAGAGAATCCAAGCTGAGAGATTCCTCTACACTCAGACCTGTGGGAGAACAAAATGCCTTTCATGAGCTCTCCTTGCAAATCTCTTCCAGGTCTTTCTTTTGAGGAAGTCCAGCAATAACTCTGAATCATAGAAAATGCTGAGTTGGAAGGGACCCATAGGGATCATCAAGTCCAACTCTGCTGGACTTTCTCAAGTCATGAGACACAAAAGATACAGAGGTTTGATTATATATTCTATTTCGTTCTCTGCTTCTCCTCCTTACACTCATTTTTTGTTTGTTTTGGTTTTGTCTTTCATGGAGTTCAGATGTGATGCTCAGTCTTATAAGGTTCTCCTGTTGCAATTCACACTTGGCTCACATCCTTGCCATCCTGAATACCTCGGCACCATCAGGAAAGACGATACTTTTTGTTTCTACTCTCCATTTCCTATCTTTTAAACAAATATTTATACAAGGAAAGACTTTGCTTCTTACGCTGCCTGACTTACTTCAAAGATTTACCTGAAGCCTTTTGAAAAATCAAGGCTGTGTCATGTCACCCCACCCACATTCTTGTACCTCCCTTCAAAAAATGATGTGCAAAAAATGGACGGACTACCCCCAACCAAAGGTAATGTTTGCTCTTTCCAAACAAGCTGTATTTAGGCACACATCCACTTCGGCTGCATCTCTTATTATTTTTCCTGTTTGGACTTTAGTCTTGCAGATCTGTAATTCTCTGAATCTCACATCCTTACTTCCAACAGGCATCAGATTTGCCACCTTCTGGTCCTCAGAGGACCTAGTCAGTAGCCAAACTGCATACTCCCATAACCATCTACTGAGAGGTGCCTATAAAACACCATAAAGCAACCCAAGGACACATTTCAGTTGGTGTGAGATGGGGCCAGTTACATCCTTCTGCCTTGTTGAGTCCTCATTCCTGCAGATGCCAACGAGATCCGCTGCAGACGGGTTTAAGTTGGAGCTTTACAGAATGCCCTGGCTTGCATGAAAGACCAGAACAATCAGCTGCCGCAGATCCAGCAAGCACAACCAACTCTCTCTCTGCCTGCCCTGGGGTAGATTTAGCCCTTATAAGTCTTCAACTCCTGCTTGTCATCCCAAATAAGTGAGAGGCTGAGCTGGTGGTAACTCCCTCTTTTCTGGGCAAAAAATAGTAAAGCCGCCTGATGGCAGGAACACAGGCTGATTGGCATCTCACTGATAAACTGCAGTATTCTGGGTGGCTTGCCTATTCATTTGGTAATCGTTATTACTTAAAAACATACTTAATGTAGAAGAAATGCTCACAATAGCAGAACCTTGGATTTACCTGGGATGGGTTTAGCGGGATGTACTGTTTTTTCTTGTGTGCCAAAGGTTTCAGAGGACACCTTTCCTATATTTTGAATTTTTAATATTTCATTTTCAATTTTTGCAGAATTCTTCTCAATGGCTTTTATTCTGGGAAAACAAATGAACAAAAACCCCAAGCAAACAAAACAGGAATTGTTACCTGGTCATTTTTAATACATCAGGCTGCAAGAATATTAGTACCAAAAGCTTCTGAACTTGCTTGGTCTCACACTGTTTTGCTGTTTTCTGCCCCCTTGTTTGCCATATTCTATTTCAGACTGCACATAACAAGATAATTGGCTCTTTGCAGAATTCTACTAGATAAATGCAGCTATATAGTACCTTCTTAATATAAGACTGTAAGCTCGGGAAAAGTTAGCAATTCACTTTCTTTTCTGTATTTCTCAGCATCAGACAATCCATTTTAGCAATGACTGTTCACAAACATAAAAAAGTGTGAAAGTCAACTACACTTAAATTATTTACGTCCTAATTAAAACAACATATTTTGTTCTAAGCATCATGAGAGAGAGCTTACTTGTCTTCAAGCTCCATTGCTCTTTTCCTATAGTATAACAGAGCTGTGGACTCAGATTCCAGAGCTTTTAATCTCCCACGAAGAAAAAACACATTCCTTTGGCCATTCTTAATTCTTGTAATAAATGCCTCATATTCCTGTTTGATTGAAGTCAGGATGTTCTTGTACGCACTAACATACTCTATTATCTGTGAATGTATTTTTGGATGCAATATTTGTGGGAAGAGAATCAACAACAAAAATCTTTCTGGAACTTTCTAATACACGATAGCTTTAAAAGAAAATGGCTAGACAAATCAAGCTTTACACCACATAATAGAACATATTATTAACATTAAAAAAGAAAAAAGCTTCAGAAACAGGCTTGGAAAACCAAAGGTACAGGGGCTACATATTAGTATGCTAAAATAAGTGAAGATGTAAAAGTAGACAGAGGAACTTTCATGCCTACTTATCCAGAAAGCTAGGTGTGCAAGGGTGCTTTATTTATTTATTCACAGCATCTTTCAGATTCTGACTGAAATGGAAAAGGCAGATGGAATCAGGCAGGCAGGAGTCCTTCACAAGCTTCAGCAACAACTTTCCAGCCTAACTGAAGAGCAGCTGATGCTCATACAGGGCGTATGGGGCAAATGTCATGGGTCTTTATAGTCAAACAAACAAAAAAAAGTTAAGAAAAGGGGTTATCAAGCATGAACCCTACCGTAATATAACTTCTGGTACTATGAATTCATCATAATGGTTTCTATTTGACTATAGTGTACATAGTGGGCATAAAAGAAATGTTAAGAATGCACCAACCTCTGATCTGTGTAGCAATACCTACAGTTCAAAATTGGTCTGTTTATGTATTCTTCCTCAGAAAACAAAGCAGCAAAGCACGCTTAGTGTGAGCTCTATTAGTCTTGCTCATTTACCTGAGAAATATGTTACCTTGTCAAAAGCGTTACTGTATATAATGTAGCGCTCCTCAGAGGGCCCTGGCTCAGCACAGCCCACTTTTTCAGTTTCTGTCAATATGTTTCCTCGAATGCTCTCCAGAAACCTCCTGTCCTTCTCCAAAAGGAAGGGAGGGTTTCTCTGCTGCCCCTCCATGGCTTAGCATAGCAACGTGGCACCTTTCTGACAGAGAACCTAAACCTCTCTCCTGCTTTATTTAACGTGTGCTTCAGGTCAAAACCTGGAAGAAAAGCTGAAAACGTTAAAATTGCACCAGGGATTTCCAAATTAACGTGACTCTCAGTACTGTTCCGTACCTAACTTACCTAAGACTTTTCTAATTCTACGGATATTTGCCCAGCAAACGCAGGCGGGCTTTGTCGGCGTTTAAGCTGCCTTCACGGAACTAGGAGGAGATGAGGGCCCAGATTTCTGGGATTTCGCGCTGCAGCGCCGCCTTGTGGAAACACGGCTACCTGGGGGGAAAGGAAAAGAGAGAAAAAAAGAGAAAAAAAAGAAAGAAAGGCGGTCCGTGAAGCGCCGGCTGCGTGTGTGCGCACAGCCCCGCCCTGAGGCGAGCTCGGCTCCGCACCGCCCCTCAGCCGCCCAACGGCCGCCCCGAGCCCTTGGCGCCCACAGCGCGAGAGGAGCCGCGGTGCATCATGGGGGCTGCAGTTCCCCTCCCCTCGCGGTCCCGCCCTCCGCCTCCGACTCCCATGGCGCACTTCGGGCGTGGGGGGGGGCGAGACTACAACTCCCAGCATGCCGCAGCGCGGCTGGCGGCGGCGAGGCACGCCGGGAGCCGTAGTCCCGAGCACCTCCCGCCCCTTCCTGCGGCGCGGCTGGAAACCCCGTGCGGGGCGGAGGGGAGCTCTTTCGGGGCGCCGCCATTCCGCGAGCAGGTCGGGGAGGCGCGGGGCGCGGCGCGGCTTCGCCATGCAGATCTTCGTGAAGACCCTGACGGGGAAAACCATCACCCTCGAGGTCAGGCTGCGCCCCCCGCACCGCGCACACCGCGGCGCTGCGGCTGCGGAGGGCCGGATGGCGGCGGCGTGCCCCAAATGGCTGCTGCCCCTGCGGCTCGTGGTGGTGAAGCGCGGGTGCGGGGTTGCCTCACGGCCCCGCTGCTCTGTCTCCTAACAGGTTGAGCCGTCCGATACCATAGAGAATGTGAAAGCGAAGATCCAGGATAAGGAAGGTGAGGCCGCGATGCTTTCTGCGCGGTGGTGGTGGGGGGGGGGGCGCGGTTCGCGTGCCTCACGTGTTGCTGCTGTGTCGCCCTCAGGGATTCCTCCTGACCAGCAGCGGCTGATCTTCGCTGGCAAGCAGCTGGAGGATGGGCGCACGCTGTCGGACTACAACATCCAAAAAGTGAGTGGGAAATGCTGGGAGGAGCGCGGTGCCGGCTGCTGCCGCAGGAGCAGGCCGGCTGCAGGCTGTGAGCCTAAAAAGTGCTTCAAAGAGATTGAAAGAAATGGACGGGGAGGTCGATTGACTTCGGTCAGATGAGCAGCAATGCCACCAGAAACCAGAAGATTATTTTTACAGTAATAAATTGGTGATACATTGGCTTAGTCACATCACGAAACTGTATTCTGCAATTTTAGTTAAAACTGAGGAATACATTCACAATATTTTTAATAGTATTTGAACCTTTAAGGCTTTGGGATGTGACAGCACACAATTCTCTGGTGCCTGCTCATTTGCAGACTACGGAGTGAAAAATCCTTTAAGAGTTTTCCTCCTTGGCTGGAGGTTGAAATACTGCTATTTAAGTAGTTGCTGTAGATAAAAGGCCTGTTTAAATACTACTCTTGGCTTGTTAGATGCTTATGCTTAAAGCATTTTTAGTCTTTCAAATTGTATTTGAATTTTCTTACTTCACAAATAGGAATCAACCCTTCACCTTGTGTTGAGACTTCGTGGAGGTGCTAAGAAAAGGAAGAAGAAGTCTTACACTACTCCCAAGAAGAACAAGCATAAGAGGAAGAAGGTTAAACTTGCAGTGCTCAAGTACTACAAGGTATGTAGAACTAACTCAGTGAAGCTTGATGAATGCTTTGCTCTCACCAGGAAGGGACTAGTTACAGCTTACAAAGCCTGTGACTAGACTACATGTCACCCAGCGTTTTTAAAGTCCTTCTGTTTGCAAATACCCCATCTGTTAAATAAAAAAGAAGTTTGACTGTTGCAGTCAGGCACTTCAGAACTTTGTTTTTCTGTCAGAATTTTGAAAGCAATCCCAAAAGCTGCTTTGTCAAAGAAAAGAACTTGAAAATAATTTGTGCTAAAAGGTGGTGAGTGTATGACATGTTGCCTCTTGCCCTTGACAGGTGGATGAGAACGGCAAGATCAGTCGTCTGCGCCGAGAGTGCCCCTCTGAGGAGTGTGGAGCAGGAGTCTTCATGGCTAGCCACTTTGACAGACACTATTGTGGCAAGTGCTGTCTGACATACTGCTTCAATAAGCCAGAGGACAAGTAAATGTACCAGACAATAAAAATCTGAAGTTCTGTACTGTTTAGAGATTTATTTCTGCACTGTATTTCCTCTTCACTGGTAAGAAGAAGACTTATTAAGTCTTGTTCTATACCTCTTTTTGGGGGCGAAATTCTTTTACCAAGAAAAAGGGAAAAAACAGCTCTGCAAAGACTGCAGGAGAATCCTTTTCAGATCTCTTCGTTCTGAAACTCATTTAACATGAATATTTAGTGATTTAGTACTTCAAATACGCACTATGCAAGCACCATTCTTTTTTTTTTTTTCAAAAATATTCAATTCACCCCAGTTACAGTCAGGCATGAAAGTCTGATTTTGACCAGCTTTTCACAGCATTAGCTAGTCATGAACAAATATTCCTGCAACTGTATTTGAGGAAAGCGGGGTGTATTTGCTTTTTTTGTTGTTCTGCCATAGCTAACTCTGAACTCTAAGCGGTTTATTTCTACATGAGTAGACAGCACTGTGATTCTTATCAGGAAACCTGGGAGACCAACAAGTTTGAAATCATACGCGAAATCAGCACTAGAGCAAAGGGGGTCCCCACCATGAAGACCATATACTGAAAAAATAGTACCAGCACCCTTGTAGGGGAAGAGAAAGAGGGCTCAGCTGTTTTGAAATCAATAAATTTGGAAGTATTTACACCTTGATGGCTTTACACACACAAAGTGCTTGCAGTTAGGGTCATTCATCTGGTGCTCCCGTGAGGTATTCTGGTTGCTTGATGAGGTTTAAACATAGAATACAGGAGCATCAGGTAGAGAGATGCACATAAGCTTCTTCATAAGTTCATTTAATATAAAGAGTTCAAGGCCAGGAATAGTACATGTCCTTGCTGGGGATTCAGATGCATTTTAAAATCCTGGATCCCACGATGTTGTCTGTTGAACTTCTTTTTCTTCGTAACAGATAATTTCATCTCCAATATTGAATTCTATATGCTTGTCCAAACTTAATCCACAATCCATACCTGTTTTTATTACCTGGACATCATCTTTATGATGCTTCAGTGATGATAAAGATCCTACAGAGAGGAAAAAGAAAGAAAACCCAGTTGACAGAGTATAGATGTGTTTTGGTTTCCCCTTCTCACACAATTCAGGTTTCATCACATAGCTACAAAACAAAAGCCAGACAACCTGGAGATTGCAAGTGGCTGCGGCTGATTAAAGTCGAGCATCAGTCCTTTTCCATAGGCAAAGGCTGTGATAACTACTTTTCTGGTAGAAAAGTGGGCGTTAGAAAGAGGTCTGGATAAGGAGTATGATGACATTTTACAGCTTTCTCTGCTTTAAACGATTCCATCCTAAACAGCACCCGTAATTGCCTTGTGATTAGATGCACACTTTTTGCATTAATTTCACCGGGAACTAACTGGTCATGTTGTAACACTGAGCACAAACACTAGTTTTGCAGCCCATTACTTACCTTTCCAAATAACATCCCCTTTACGGATTAACTTAAATTTCATCTTTTTGTCAAGTTGACCCTTCTGTACTCTGCACCCAGCTACTGGAATTTTGTTTTTTCCTACTGTTACAGAGAAGATGTCAAGAACAGAAGCTGTCCCTAAAAGAAAAAAAAAATGTAGTAGAGTTCTAAGAAGTACAGGAAAGTAACAAACACATAAGAAAAACCAAGCTATGCTCTTCCACCTACTAAGCTGTATAACAAAATAGAAAGGCAGCTACATTAATTACTTGATACAGGAGGAATGCATCATCGGAGTGCAAACCTAAAGCCATACAGCACAGCAAAAATGTAATTTAATGCTCCCTGAAAACTCACCTATTGTATTTTCCACCACAGATGGAGGCAGTCTGCTATTTAGCTCATCTTGCAAGTCTTCAATAAGTTTGTAGATGACGTTGTGAAGTTTTATTTTTATTCCCTTTTTAGCAGCCAGCTTTTTAACAGTTTCATTGGCTTTCACGCTGAATCCATAAACAACACCTGGCAAATATAATAATCAGCAACTGATAACATAAGAAATTATTACACAATAAGTGAAAGCATTTGGCATCTCCTGAAATGTTGAACTTGCAGCACAGGTTAAAATTAGCGTTACCAGTCAGCAGTATAAGAAACATCATTTCACTACTTCCCTTTTAATGGGGGACCATGTACCTCCCCCACTATCACTGCAGTCAGCACACCCACTACTACTCGCCTCGTATCAAAACAAATGGGCTCAGAACTCCTCACAGAAAGTTCCCTCATGACAGAGATGAAGTTATCAGAAATTACTGCATACACAGAGCCCACCAGAGCAGATGGCACCACACACACGCAAAAATTAAAAAATTCCCCCATTTTTGGGCTGGGAAAACGATTTGGTTGCCTGGTATACACTGGAAATGAACTTTACATTCTCATCCACCTGTGGAGCGTGTTAGGTCCTGCAACCCCCCCCACATTCTAGAGCAGGTGAGAATCATGGAGCAAAAAGGGGACCAACTATTGATACAGGTCTTTCTTTTCAGTGACCTCCCCGAGCAAAAGGAAATTCTGTTGTGTGCTGCTTTTCTGGCATTGCCCTGCTCAACATCATAAAGCAACTTAAGTGAGAAGTTAAGATCCAACCATTATCTGCCATTAATAATTCAGTTACTGACAATGGCTGTCACAGTCCTATTTCTGTGATATTTCTAGCCTTCCCTACCTGCATTAGTATTTGATGTTAAAGGTGTTACTTGGTATTATTAATATACATATAAGTTTACATTATCAATGCTGTTAATCATTAAAAAAATAGTATGAGATCTACTGATTTCAATGGAGAGAAGTTTCTACTAATTGTAAATTAATTTTTAAACATACACTCACCATTAAATGCTTCAGCAAGACTTATATCAGTTTCGCTGATATCTCCCATTCCAAAATGGATGATATCCAATCTACATTCATCATCAGCATCATAGCTGTCCAGAATGTTCAGAATAGCTTCGATAGATCCATCCACATCACCTGGGTATATAAATGGTAGTGCTGTTGACTTTGTATGAATCAAAGTGATACTGAAGAAGAAGAATTAGGGGAATGAAAATTCCACATTATGCAATATAATCAAAAGCTTGGATATTTAGCATTCTTTTTATATTTCCAGCAGTATATTAGAACACATCTGAGAAGTCTTTCTATTACAAAAGTGAAGTGAATAAAGACAGCAGGACCAGAA